TAAGAACCTCACTTCTTCAGATGCAAGTCTTCTTACCCACGAAAGCTTATGCTCCCAATACTTCTGTTAGTCTTAAAGGTGCCACAGGATCCTCTGTTGCTTTTTACAGATTCAGACTAACACGGCTACCCCTCTGATACCTATAGTATGCAACTCTTGAAATCTTGTTGAGTTGAGCTTATTGAATGAGTTGAGCTCATTTGTAGAAAGAAAAAGATAAATGGTAAACCTAGAATGAACCAGTGAGGGCAAGGCGGGATCTGTGTCTGCTGGCAGCACAAACAACAAAATCCCTAAATATAGCAGAGGAAAAGTGAGGAGGAGTATGTGATGGGCGCAGAAAGAAAAAGCCATTTGCATGGTATGGAGAGACAGACAGACTCCTGGAAAAAGAGAGAAAGAGAACTGTTTTCTAACCCAAGGTATATTTTGATAGAAGCCAACCTACCTACACAAATAAGTGTTTGAAACCTTAGTAGTGATAGATACCCCCTTCTTAATCTGAAAACCTGACATTATTAAATGGACATATTAGCTGTTCTTGCTACTTTCACATAAACTATTGTGACAGGCTCAGGCCAGATGGCTATAGGAGCGTAGTGGAAGGTAGATACATTAAACCCAGATTAAGCAGGTCCCTTTTCCCTGAGTAAGATAACAGGGACTATTCCAGAACAATCAGGAACTTGTTAGAACCAATTAAGGCAAGAAGGCTAATTAGGACACCTGGAGCCAATTAGGAAGCTACTAGAACCAATTAAGGCAGGTAGGCTAATCAGGGTACCTGGTTAAAAAAAGAAAGACCTCCCTTCAGTTAGGGAGAGGCACGTAAGGAGCTGGGAGCTAGAGGACGTGCTACTGTAGGACTGAGGAATACAAATGCCATCAGGCATCAGGAAGAAGGTCCTGCGTTGAGGACAAAGAAGGTGCTGGCGGGAGGTCATGGGGAAAGTGGCCCAGGGAGTTGTGGTTGTCACATAGCTGTTACAGGAGACATTGAGACAGCTGCGATCTAGTAGAGGGAGGGCCCAGGTTCCCCCCATTCCCCCAACTCCCTATTTGACACATGAAGAGTTGACCTGGACTGTGAGTCATATCAGAGGGGAAGGTCTCTGGCCTGTCCCTGACCCACTAGGTGGGACAACAGAGACTGCGGGGATTGTTCTCCTCCCTTTCCACCATACTGGCCAGTGATGAGGTTAGCTGAGTGAACGGCAGGTTTGAACCAGTGGCAAATGTGGCCAAACTGCAGGCTGCCGTGAACATCTGAGGCAAGCAAATCCGCCAGAAAGCACAAGACCCACCAAGGTAGAGGAAGAACTTTGTCACACTATTCATTGACTAAAAAGCAAGTACTCTTTCTGCTTTTAGTTCATTTGAAAAAAGAGTTGTCTGAGATGTATTATAATGTTACATAAAGAGGTTTTGACATAGAAAATATTGCTATGCAAAACCTATTTAATTTTGTGAGGTATTGAAAACTTGCATCTACTTTTCTGTCTATTGTTACTCCTAAAGTCTTTCTTGGAATTACTGCTCCCCTGGTTTCTCACTCCCATTGAATATTTATGTTTACATTTTTCCACCTTATTTTGACCTTTGTATTATTTCTGACCTTATTTTGATATTTTCAGCTCACCTTATTTCTCTTTGTATTATTTCTCTATCTTCATTAGTGTTCACAATGCCCCAAAATTTAGTATCTTCTGTGAATTATATATGCTATTAACTTTCTCTTCTAGGTCATTAATGAAGAGTGGACAACACAAAGATCTGTATAGTTTTCCTCTAAGCCTTTCCTCCTATTTTATTCTTCGTTTACTGCTTGTCATTTCTCTTTGTTTATTGTTCTTCAACCCATGTAACCAGTGTTCACTGCCAAGCCAAAATGGATCTTGTAAGTAAGATTTAATGAAATTGTATATCAAATATTCTGCTTACATCTTAATACATTAGAGCTTCTTTCCATCTGCCAATGTTGCAATTTGGTTTAGAAGTTCCACTAGATCCCATGCCTGTGATTTCAGAGGCTTTGTATGTTTACATTTACAAAGTAGACACGTATATACAACTTGAGTTACACTTTCCACCATAAACAATATAAACTTCTTTATACCTTTGCACACTGCATGTGGTTGCAGCCCTCATTCTTCTGAATTGGAGATTTGCAGTTGGCGCATGGTTTGGAGTTAGTTAGTAACCATAGGCAGTTGGCAGCATCTTCATAAGCCTCACTAACTCCCACAACTTTGAGGAAAAAAAAGTGGAAAAAAAAATAGAAAAGTTAAGATTATGTGCATATCAATTTTTGTAAAATGTAGGTGAAGAAGTCTGCATGTTTCCCTAATTCTTGACAGTGCACATTAATTTCCTCATAAATCTACAGCATGTGTTACAAAGTAATTTAAGGAAAAAATTAAGATGCTTTGACAAATACGACATAAGTCAAAGGTCACATCCACACCTCAATCAGCTAGGGAATGCATCTGTATATTTTATTATGCTTTACATTATAATTTATTAAATATACTATAAGATGTTAACACAGTCCAAGACCCATGCTAGGAATTTAAAAAAATCATTGTTGATACTTAAGTTTTATACTAGTTTCTATGGATCACTCCAAATAAGTGTTTGTCCTGTGTTATTTTACATTAATTAATAAATGATGGTAATACTATTTGATAATATTATTTGTATCACCTACGAGCCCTGGTCATGGATCAGGACCCCACTGTATTAGGCATTGTACAAACACAGAACAAAAGACAGTCCCCTGCCCCAAAAGTTTACAATCTAAATAGACTTATTCATCCCTTTCCCCCCCCCCTTTTTTTTTTTTTTTAAACACAAGTATCAGCTGCTTCTATTTCTCTAAGATTTATGGAAATGACTTCTGGACATAGCATTAAGAGCCAAACCATGTGCAATAGGTAATGCAGACGCTCCCTGACTTATGCAAGCATTCCGTTCTGGAACGCCTTGCGTAAGTCGGGGACGTATACCCGACAATTACACACACAACCCCCCACCCCTCCAAACCCAACCCACTTACGGAACTTTTTCTGTAAGTGTGGGTTTGTGTAACTTGGGTTTGTGTAACACGGGGAGCATCCGTATTTTAGAAAATAAATACTCAGCGCTTTGGGACTCTTCTGGAGATTACAAGATTTCCTACCAAGTTCTAAAATACAATTTTGGGAGGTGGGGGGGGAGGAAGATTTTAATTTGTGTTTTGGCCTCATCCACACTGCCTGACTGAACTGTGTGAAAGCAGTTTTAGCCTACAGCAGTTTTAAAGCATAATATATGGAGATATACCTATCTCATAGAACTGGAAGGGACCCTGCCTTCACTAGCAGGACCAAGTACTGATTTTTTGCCCCAGATCCCTAAGTGGCCCCCTCAAGGATTGAACTCACAACCCTAGGTTTAGCAGGCGAATGCTCAAACCACCTGGCTATCCCTCTCTTCCCCCTTAAAACAACTACAGGAAACACAATACAAATGTAAATTGGGTTAGTGGGAGATATTTATTAAATTGGACTTTCCATTGTAAAGTAAAAAGAATCAGGAAATATCTCATAATAGCATGAAGAGGGAATCTGAAATTTTCAAAGATACCAAGCAAATTCTATTTTAAAATGCTTAGTTAATTTAACAATGGTTTTATAATAATAATTAGCATTTACATACCAGATTATATGTTCTAAATGCTGTAGACACACAAAGGGCCTAATTCTGATCTAATTTAACATTGGTGTAAAATAGGAGAGGCAACAGAGTTACATAAATGAGCCAGCATGAAATCAGAATAAAGTTGTAAGCAATTAATCTAATTACACTGATAAAATAACCAATATTTTTAACATTACAAAGATAAAGATTACTGACCTGTAACCAGAGTTCTTCAAGTGGCCTCTGCACATTCACATTCTTAGAATGTACTCATGGCGTAGCTAGAAATGGAACCTTCTAGCAGTACGGCACATTGGAATGCTTCTTTCTTGGGGTTATAATTCCAACTCAGGCATTGGAGGAGGTGCACAGATGCACAACCCATTTATAGCTTTGCTCTCCGAATGTACAGAGCCACGAGGGGAAGAGAAAGGGGAAGAAGGTGCAAGAGCACTCCAACAGGCACTGCTACCAGAAACTTCCTCTGGTCCTGATGGTACCATGGGCACATCCCAGAGTAGGAATGTGCAGAGGGCCACTTGAAGAGCTTACCTTTACAACAATTATGAAAGTCTTGAATTTCCAATTCATTCCAGTTGTAAGATGCATTTCCCATATCCAAACCGAAAGAATCAAACTGTCAAGGGGGCAGCTCTGTGTGTATGTGCATGCGCGCATGTGCCTATATTATATATATAAATAAAATCTTGTGACTTTAAAAAAAAACAAAAACAAAAAAACCAGCTCTGCCATTGAAACAACTCAGAATATTTGGCATGGAAATAGTCTTAACTGAGGAGAAGTGCTTTTGAATCTTCTGGCTAAAATCTATCGATCAATCTATCTAGATCAGAGGTGGGCAAACTACAGCCCGTGGCCACATCCGGCCCACGGGACCCTCCTGCCTGGCCCCTGAGCCCTCAGCCCCTCCCCTACAGCCTGAGCTCACTGTGCCACTGGCGCAACGCTCTGGGCGGCAAGCTCCTGGGGCAGCGCAGCTGCAGAGCTGCAGCCTGACCCGGTGTTCTGTGCTGTGCGGTGGCGTGGCTGGCTCCAGCTGGGCGGCACAGCTACCTGTCCTGGTGCTCTGGGCAGCTCGGCTCTAGCGCCGCCAGCCACTGGTGCTTCAGGCAGCGCGGTAAGAGGGCAGGGGAGTTCGGGGTGGTGGTTGGTAATTTTCCCCACTATGATGTTACCCAAAACAAATCTTTAATCTGTAGGGTTTGATTTAAGACATGAGCAAGGAAATTCAAAGTTAAAGAAAGGGGGAAAAACAGAATTATACAGTTTTCAGCACCATTTTTTTATTAGACAATTTCTACAGGACAAATTATCAAACCTCCCCTCTTTCACACTGATTTCTTAAGTACCATATAGTTCTTATTTAATGTTGTTAAAAATCCCACAAAAACTACTCTTACGTTCTTCTGGTTTCATTTCAGATATCTTCTGCAGCCAGTTCTTCCATGTTTGGCAGTCACAAGGTTCATGTGCTTCACCAAGACATTCCCTGAAAAATTAAGTCATAAATACAGTAGGTAATTGTTTAAATTCTACTTTGGTTCAAATTTAAAAATAATCAAGACAAACTCTAATTAAGACAGGAAGATAAAGAAACCTACTCAATTACTCTCACTTTAAAACATTCTTACATTTGCTCACAACCCAAGGTGGAGCTTCATGAAAATTAATGGGAGAATTTAAGTGAGGCAGCAAAGAAAAATGCTTTTTAATTATGATGGAGAATTTCTGAAAAGCAGCTGGTATGTGCTATGTTTTATGGGCTGACCAGTAATTAATCTACGCCCATATATGATGGTCATACAGCTTTTGTACAATGGGTGAAGTTGACCTCAGTGCAGATGGACTACGAAAGGCCTTTTTTATTCATATTAAAGTAGTATTTCAAAGACCCCAATCAGCACTGTGGCCTCACTATGTTAGATACTGTACAAACATATAGTAAGACAAAGTCCCTGCTCCAAAAACCTTTCTGGCTAAGTATAAGCTCCTAGTTTATGTGGAGTTTATGTGGTGCACAGGGCCTTGAGTAGGCTCTCTACAGCTGGGATGAATTTCACCCAGAATTACTTGTTCGTCTCCACTGATTATCATTAATCCTTAATAACAAGGTCAGTGCTTAAGTAAATCCCCATTGCTTTCACACTCCTCTAATGCTGAGTAAATTTGGATTTCTACCCTTCCCAGAGTCCCTAAATGGAAAGGAGATAATATTGGTTGAAATTATATGGACACACAAGGAGTTAACAGTGGGTCCCCCAAGTTTTTCCAGATTTACTACTGCTGGTTTTCAGGATGGCAGTCAGTATACAGCAGCAGATACATGGCTTCCAGATGGTGCTTGGGTGTAGATGTGTCAACACAGATTCCAGAATTGTCACGACTTGCTCTTTTACTGGAAATGCAGCAAAACAGCTCGAGACATCTGCCACGTGAAATACACAAATAGTTTATAAATGGCGTATATTTCCACATGGACACCTGCTTTATCACAGAAAATGCAAATTGTTTTTTGAGGATCAAATGGTACACTAATTCCTGTAATGCAATGTCATAAGCTGAATAAATACTCATGATCTCCCTTGTCCTCATCACAACAGGGAACATGTGAGCAAGAAAAGCTTAAAGAAAACTACAAAAAAGAAAAGAGCCTTCTGAGCCACCCTCTTCTACCTGTACAATTGAAATAAGGCTAGGGTCAATCTGAGCTATAGGATGAAATCCTGGCCTTGTTGACTTCACTGGGGCTAGACTTCACCCATAATAACTGTTCTTGGATAATTTTAAATGTATGCATAGAAAACAAAATTAGCAGAAAGGGAACTAACAAGAGAATGGCCCCCTTACCTAAAGGCTGATTAATTCACCCCACACAATGAACAAAATAACAAAGACATGCGCACTGGCTTCTCTGTGGATTGTGAATTTTTGAACAGACTCACTTCAAATCCTAAATTTTGGAATACCTGCAGAGATTTTGAACAACTCTAAAAAGAGAATGAACCAGGAATTTAAGAAATACAAATTGTCAACACAGCCTGAATCTTGGTGTACGTTTTGAAGGGCAAACAGCCTAAAAAGGAAGAAACGGGAAAACCCAAATTACTACAGCTGCATCTCCTTGAGAGACAATGTTAGGTACTCTTCTAGAGACTGGATTCAGGGTGTGAGCATGGAAATCCTGAACCTTCTTTGTTGCAGGAACGCCTTTGCTGACCACCAATAAATCTGTTCAAGTTAAGAGACTGAAAACTGTGTTATATTTTCTAAAAATGGATAACTACTTAAGGTGCAGTATTGGTCAGCCTTGTCCCAATTTCTATGACACTACTGCATAGATTTTTGCCTTAGCGGTATTTGTAGGATAAGCAGTGGCGCCCCTTGAGCGCCACGTTCATGTGCCACTAGATCAGGCGCTGCTGACCCTATGCTCTCTCAGTTCCTTCTTACCAGTAATTCCGACAGAGGGGCAGGAGGACGGGTAATAAAATGGACATGAGCAACACAATCTCGAATAACAGTTACGAAAGGTAGGTAACTGTTTTTTCTTCTTCGCGTGCTTGCTCATGTCAATTCCATTCTAGGTGACTCACAAGCAGTGCGAATGGAGGTGGGCTCGGAGTTTGTGATCTTGCAGCACTGCCCTGCTGGAGCCAGCATCATCCTGGGCCTGCTGGGTCAGCACATAATGGGCCATAAATGTTTGGACAGAGAAGTGCCAAAGGTTCAGAGCTTCTTGGCAGAGGGCTGCTGACCTCGCTCTACCTTGTCTGTTGATGTAATATATTGTGGCAGTATTGTTCCTAAGGACCTGCACCACCTTGCCCTTCAGGTGCAGGGCCGGCTCCAGGCACCAGCCGACCAAGCACGTGCTTGGGGCGAAACCTTGGGGCAGGGCAGCGCTCAATTTTTTATTTTGGATTCAGTGGCGCGGCGCTCGGAGGGGGGGCGTGGGCTTCGGGCGGTGTAGCGCTCAGAGGGGGGACGGGGGCTTCAGGTGGCGCGGTGCTTGGAGGGGGGCGGGGGCTTCGGGCGGTGCTCAGGGGGCGGTGCTTCGGGTGGAGTGGCGCTCAGACGGGGGGGAAGGGGCTTCGGGCAGCGCTTGGAGGGGGGCGGGGCGGGGCTTCGGCTGGCACGGCGCTGGGGATGCGGGTGTTCGGGTGGCTTGGCACGGCATGGGGGCAGGGTATGGCGGTGCGGTGCTCTTCTTTTTTGCCTGGGGCGGACAAAAAGTTAGAGCCGGCCCTGTTCAGGTGGGGCAAGAAGGTCTGGCAGGCCAGGCGAAATGCTCGGAGCTCCCTGACGTTGAATTGGAGGGCCAGATCGTCCCATAACTAGAGGCCCTGGGTGCTCAGCTCGCCCAGGGGGGGCTCCCAAGCACAGGTCCAAACCATCGGAGACCAGGGTTAGTGATGGCGATGGGGTTGCAAAGGGGACTCCCTGAAACACCAACCTGGCGTCCAACCACCAATACAGGGATGACAGGATGTGATCCAACACCCTAATCACCTGGTCTACCTTGTGTCTGTTGGGGGTGTAAACCGACGCCAGCCATACATGCAGAGACTGGAGTGGCGCCATGCATGACTGACCACACGTGTACAGGTGGCCATGTGGCCCAGCAACTGCAGGGAGGTGAGAGCCATGGTAAGTAGGCAGTTCCTCACATGGGAGATCATAGAATCATAGAATATCAGGGTTGGAAGGGACCTCCCCTGCTCAAAGCAAGACCAATTCCCAACTAAATCATCCCAGCCAGGGCTTTGTTAAGTCTGACATGGCTTGAAAAACGCGCCTCCGGGAGGAAGGCACTGGCTCGTGTGGAGTTGAGAACCGCTCCTATGAACTCTATGCGTTGGACCGGCTTTAACGTGGATTTTTTCTTGTTTATCAACAGGCCCAGGTCGTGGCAGGTGGAATACACCAGATTGAGGCTTCTCTGTACTTGGTTCCGAGACCTGCCTTGGATGAGTCAGACATCGAAATACGAGAAGACCTGGACCCTCAATGTCTGAGGTAGGTGGCCACTGGAACCTTGGAGCCAATGAGAGGCCAAAGGGGGGTGCCATAAATTGGAAATGGCATTTGCCCACTATAAAACGGAGGAAATGCCTGTGACTTTGGAATATGGAGACGTGAAACTAGGCGTCCTTCAAGTCGAGGGTGGCCTACCAGTCTCCTGGATCCAGGAAGGGGATGATGGAGGCCAGGGAGATCATGCAAAACTTCAACTTTTTGAGAGACTTGTTGGGGCGTCGCAGGTCCAGAATGGGTCCGAGGCCCCCTTTTGCTTTTGGGATTAGGAAGTAGCGGGAATAGAACTCCTTTCCCCATATGTCCCGAGGAACCTCTTCCACTGCCCCCATGTGCAGGAGGTTCTCAACCTCCTGAATGAGAAGGTGCTTGTGAGAAGGGTCCCTGTCATAAACATACAGCTAAGGGTAGCATAAAATCCCTCCTTTACCTGTAAAGGGTTAAGAAGCTCAAACAATCTGGTTGGCACCTGACCAAAAGGACCAATAAGGGGAGAAGATACTTTCAAATCTGTGGGGGAAGGTTTTTGTTTTGGGTTCCTTTGTTTGCTCCGAGTCAGTCAGGAACCAAAGCAGGGAAAATACATCTCCCTAAGCCATATCTGAACTAAGCATCTAATATTACAGAAATAGTAAGTAAAAGCAAGGAAATGTGTTAGACTGTGAATTTTCCTTGTGCTAAGAGGGAGGTTTATCCCCGTTTTTGTAACTTTAAAAGTTTTGCCTAGAGGGGAAATCCTCTGTGTTTTGAATCTGATTATAAAATCAGGATGGAAGGTAATTTACAGGGTAGAGGTGCTTCTTTTACTTTTTATTTATTATAAATTTTTTAAGAATCTGATTGGGTTTTTAGGACACTAAAAGGGTCTGGTCTGTGCTCACCTTGGTCACTCTCAAGCCTTCCCAGGAAAGGAAACAGGAACTCCAAGTGGTTTTTTTCCTGAATCTTTATCTAACTCACTTGGTGGTGGCAGCAGTACTCATCCAAGGACAAGGAAGGATGCGTGCCTTGGGGAAGTTTTTAACCTAAGCTGGTAGAAATAAGCTTAGGGGGTCTTTCATGTGGGTCCCCACATCTGTACCCCAGAGTTCAGAGTGGGGAGGGAACCCTGACAATCCCTGAAGAGGGAGAGAAGGGAGGGGCGGCTGAAAGTTGCAGGGTGTAATCACGAGACACTATGTCCAGCACACAACGGTCCGAGGTGGCTTGGGACCTGGCCAAACAGAAGAGACGAAGACAGTTGAGGAAAGAGTGGGGTGGATCTTGGCAGGTGGCTGGGGCATTGCTCTCTACCACACCCTCAAAACGAGCACTTCTGGCCTCCGGGGTGTTTTGCCTGACTGGGCTACACAGGACAGCGGGGGGAAGAAGGGCGACTACAGCTGAAACTAGTGTCTCTGTCCCTTCTTCTTGCAGGTCCCTGGTGAGACTGCCAAGGCCTAGGCGGCAGCCGGA